GGGGTTATATTAATTTTACTCTGGACCAGGTTCCTTTGGCGTTTCATCTTTGTGTATGCTACCCTCTAGTGTCCAGAAGCTCTATTCTGGAGCTGCTCAGCCCTTGAAGCAATGTCGGGGATCGCAGGGGAGTGCGATTAGTGCCTGGGGGGAGGAACGTGCTGTTTTCTCCTCCTGGCTGCTATGCCTGTCTCCACTGCCTGAGCCAGTGGGCTGAGCACACAGGTATAAGCTTTTGTACCAGAGCAGCTGGATATGGATCCCTGATTTCCACATGTGGCTGAAATCTCAGTCTCTCCAAGAATTGTGCCTGTCTTTAACTTTCCAATCCATAATCATGCGAGTCTCATGAAAGCACCATGAAATGTAGGTTTGTGCTTCTAGCGCAGATCTCCGGAGCTAGGTATTCAGCAGTCCCAGGCCTTCCACTCCCTCCCTGCTCAGTTTCTCTTCCTCTCCCCGGTGAGCTGGGGTGGGTCGAGGGCTTGGATCCCTCTGGGACACAGCTCTGGTACGTTACCCTGTTCCATGAGGTCTGCTCTTTTCTCCAGATGTGTGCAGTCTGGCTCAGTCCTCTTTCCTGTTGCTCTCTCAGGATTAGTTGTATTAATATATTTTCTTATTATATGCGGTTTTAGGAGGAAGCCTCTGTCTCACCTGTCAGCCTGCCATCTTTAATTCTCTGTTGATACATTGATTATTTAGGAGCATGTTGTTAATACTCCATGTGTTTGTGAGCCTTTTTGTTTTCTTTGTACAATTTATTTCTAGTTTTATACTTCTGTGATCTGAGAAGTTGGTTGGTAGAATTTCAATCTTTTTGAATTTACTGAGGCTCTTTTTGTGTCCTAGTATGTGGTCTGTTCTGGCAAATGTTCCATGTGAACCTGAGAAGAATGTGTATCCTGCTTTGGGTGTAGAGCTCTGTGGATGTCTGTTAGGTCCATCTGTTCTAGTGTGTTGTTCAGTGCCTCCGTGCCCTTACTTATTTTCTGTCTGGTGGATCTGTCCTTTGGAGTGAGTGGTGTGTTGAAGTCTCCTAGAACGAATGTATTGCATTCTGTTTCCTCCTTTAATTCTGTTAGTATTTGTTTCACATATGTTGATGGTCCTGTGTTGGGTGCATAGATATTTATAATGGTTATACCTCTTGTTGGACTGACACCTTTATCGTTATGTTATGACCTTCTTTAACTCTTGTTACTCTCTTTGTTTTGAAGTCTATTTTGTCTGATACTAGTACTGCAGCACCTGCTTTTTCCTCCCTATTATTTGCATGAAATATCTTTTTCCATCCCTTGACTTTTAGTCTGTGCTTGTCTTTGGGTTTGATATGAATCTCTTATAAGGAACATATAGATGGATCTTGCTTTTTTATCCATTCTATTACTCTGTGTGTTTTGATTGGTGCATTCAGTCCATTAACATTTAGGGTGATTATCAATAGATTTGTACTTATTGGCATTGCAGGCTTTGGATTCGTGGTTACAGAGGTTCAAGGGTAGCTTCTTTACTATCTAACTGTCTAACTTTAACTCACTTATTACCATATTATAAACACAGTCTGATGATTCTTTATTTCTCTCCCTTCTTATTCTTCCTCCTCCATTCTTTATATGTTAGGTGTTTTATACTGTACTCTTTTGTGTTTCCCTTGACTGAGTTTGTGGGTAGCTCATTTTCTTTTTTACCTTTAGTTAGTATTTGCTTGGTCTGCTTTCTTTGGTGTGATTTCATTTTCTCTGGTGACATCTATTTAGCCTTAGGAGTCCTTCCATCTAGAGCAGTTCCTTTAAAATAGCCTGTAGAGGTGTTTTGTGGGAGGCAAATTCCCTCAACTTTTGTTTGTCTGGGAATTGTTTAATCCCTCCTTCAAATTTAAGTGATAATCTTGCTGGATACAGTATTCTTGGTTATAGGCCCTTCTGTTTCATTTCATAAAATACATGCCTTTCTCTTCTGGCCTGTTCTTGTCCTTGATCTTTGCCATTTTAATTATTATGTGTCTTGGTGTTGTCCTCCTTGGGTCCCTTGTGTTGGGAGATCTGTGGGCTTCCATGGTCTGAGAGACTATTTCCTTCCCCAGCATGGGGAAGTTTTCAGCAATTATTTCTTCAAAGACACTTTCTATCCCTTTTTCTCTCTCTTCTTCTTCTGGTACCCCTATTATATGAATATTGTTCCTTTTGGATTGGTCACACAGTTCTCTTAATATTCTTTCATTCCTAGAGATCCTTTTCCCTCTGCCTCAGCTTCTCTGTATTCCTGTTCTCTGATTTCTATTCCATCAACAGTCTCTTACACCTCATCCAGTCTGCTCTTAAGTCCTCCCATTGATCGTTTCATTTTTGTTATCTCCCTCTGGACTTCATCCCTTAGGTCTTGCATATTTCTCTGCTGCTCCATCAGCATGTTTATGACTTTTATTTTGAATTGTTTTCAGGAAGATTGGTTATATCTGTCTTACCAGACCCTCTCTCTGGTGTTGTTTGAGAGATTTTTGACTGGACCAGGTTCTTCTGCCTTTTCGTGGTGATAGAAGTGATCGCCCACAAGTGGGGCTTGTGTCAGCTGGGAGAATAAAGTCCCTTCCTGCTTGCTGTTCACCTTGCCTTTCTGCACTGCCTGTGTCAGTTACCCACACACAGGGAGCAGTCTCTGGGTTAATTCTCTGAGCTGCTGTGGGCTGGGCAGCCCTCGGGATGGCCTAGGGCACTGCCAGTGGTCGCAGGTGCACGGCGTGTGTTCTACAAGAACAGCACCCCTTCTTGCCTTCCAGACTTTGCGCTGGCTCCCTCTGTCTGTGCTGGGCAGCTGCATGCTGGTGGCAGCCTCTGGGTCTGGCCTGTTTAGGTGTGTGCTGGGAGAAGACTCTTGTGTGGTTGCTGTCAGCGTGACTGCCCCCCAGTTGGTCCACAGCAATGGCACATCAGCCGGTTTGCTTGCAGTACTGGTGGTGGGGAATGAAGTGCAGGCTGCTTATCACCATGAAGGGCTTCAGAGCTGTGTTGCCACCCAGGGGGTTAGGGTGCCTGAAGTTCCTTAAGATTCCCAGCCTGCTGAGCTGAGTGTGCCAGGACGAATTTGTCCACCTGTTAAATCCTTGTCCCTTTAAGACTTTTAAAGTGCCCGCTTTTCTCTTGTCCCAGGGTAGCCGGCTGTCAGGACCCGCTCATAGTCTCCATCTGGGATTTTACTTTTCCATTTCTCTAATATCCAGTACACCATGCAATGTGTGTCTGTGCTCCCAGTGCAGATTACTAGGGCTGGTTATTTAGTAGTCCTGTGCTTCTACTACCTTCCCACTCTGTTTCTTTTCCTCCCGCCAGGGAGCTGGGGTGGGGGGAGTGTTTGCGTCCCGCCAGGTCACAGCTTTGTATCTTACCCCCTTCATGAGATGCTGAGTTCTTGCAGATGTAGATGTAGCCTGCCTGTTGTACTGTATCTTCTGGTCTCTCTTTTAGAAATAGTTGTATTTGCTGTAGTTTCAAAATATATATGATTTTGGGAGGAGATTTCTGCCACCCTAGTCATGCCACCATCTTGCGCCTGATCATTTGTATTTTAAAATCAGTATTATGGGTAAGCAGAGGTGGAGTTATATATGGCTTGAGTATATTCTTTATCTTTGTTAAATATACAAATAGTTTGTGCTTAGTTTAGCATTTTAAACAAAACATATAAAATGCAGAAAGCAGAAGATTCCTTCTCCCTGAAATCCCCCTTCTCTGTTGTACCTTGCATGCCCAGTGTGATCCATGTCTTTCTAGACTTTTCTCTGTCTCTGTAGGTGTTTATATGTAATCATATCAATATGGGTACATGATGGTTTAAGCAAGCCTTATTGTCTTAAATGGTGAAACCTTTATTCAGTGAGTAAAAAGATACATTTGTTATAGGTTCAAGAAATTTAGTAACTTCCACTTGGATATCAGCTTAGGACCTCTGTGACTTTTCTCTCTTTTCCAGCCTCTTCCTTTCCTGATCACTTTCTATTAGGATCTTTCCAGGGAATATTTCACTTCCTGCTCTTCCCACTCTCCCTAGTCCCCCCCACTCCCTTGCACAGAAAACAACAATAGAAAAATTGTTTATACATCTTCTATAAAGCCTTTACAATTTTGAATTTTAAGCTACATTCAGATACTAATTTTTACAAAAGAAATACTAAAATAATGTAGCTATCAGGACTTTTATGTACATAGGAATTGTTCTGCTTGATTTTTCACTTAACAGAATTCGTTGACATTAGCTTCTACTAAGTACTGTTTGAATTGTGGTCTTGTCACGTTCTTTGAAGACCAATGTGCTGCTGTATTCATCGCGTCTGGCTTGTTACAGCAACTTGTGACTGGTTTCGTTTTCCCTCCATCTTCCACGCTGTAGCAGAGTGACCTTTCTAAAACTACTCTCTGTTCTCTCTGTTCCTTAAGACCTTTTAGTGGCTTCAAGTATATGGAACTCCGCTTGCTGGCTGGAGCCTCTTTGGAGGGCCCCACAGTGGCCACCCCTTTTTTTCCTGCAAGGTTTCATACAGGTTCTTCCCTCCCCCCGTCCCTTTCTCTCTGTAAACCTTCCTGCCTGCCTTCCCACATGCACACACATGCTCATCTTGCTTCCACTCAACCTTGAGGGCTTAGCTTCTTGGACATCCCCACCCCAGAGGTCTTCCCCAATGAGGCTCCTTCCCTCTTTTACCCCTGTGCCCAGTCTAGGTTAGGTGCAGCTTCTAGTCACTTCCACAGCATTCTGTTCTTTGCCCGTGGAAGCTGTTATCACACTGTGCTGTGGATGCCTGTTTGTTTGGTTTTGTAATATCCCTGAAAGATTATAAGAGCCAGAAGACAGAGATCATGCTTTTCAATCTTGAATGACCAGTACAGTGTTTGCACAATAAGTAGTGATTGAATACTTGTGCCTGTCATCGTGTTAGAAGGCTGTAGTATTTTTGAGTACTTATTTTTCTTAAATGGTCTTTTAACCTGTTGATTGTTTTTTAGTACATAGACTCCATTGATCTGGAGCAGAGCACTGAAACTGAGGACCCTGTGAAGTTCCATGAAGCATGGCAGAAGCTATGCAAAGCTGAGTGAGTACCTGGGACTGTGCCTGCCAGTTAGGAGAGTGCCATTGTGCTTTTTCCATAATGACTCAACTTACCCCAATTACTAATTTCTGTGTATTTTGAAAGGTAGTCTGGAGTACTTGTGGTCTTTAGGGATGGTAGTGCCACATTCACATCACCTTTGCATTGAAATGTGCCATGTTAATGTCAGTGGCATGTGCAGTGGACATCGTTTTCCTGGAGGGAGAATGGGGGTCCTGTATTGGAGACAAAGTATGATGATTCTCCTGAAAGATGCAGGGATGGGTTTTAACATATACAAAGTGAAAGTATAGGAACCACAACCCTGATCTCTTGGTTCTCTTTTCTTTATCATTTGATTCTAGGCTTTATTTTCTACGTAATTGATGGAAGGCTTGGGAGTGAAATTGATTGTGAGGGAAACATGACCATCTCCCTTTTTTCTCTTGAGCTCCTGTCTTTTCAGAATGACTGTTTACAGAGAAGGTCTCTAAAGTTTCTCCTAGCCAGGAAATTTTCATGCACCACTACTTAATTAGCAATTGAAATCTTGATTGTACCACGCTGATTTTACCAGGTTAACTCTTTTTGATTATGTAAGAGATTTTAATATTTTTATAACAGTACTTTTTAAGAACCTTAACCTATTTTATTTATTTTATTTTTTATTTTGCTATCATTAATCCACAATTACATGAGGAACATTATGTTTACTAGACTCCCCCCATCACCAAGTCCCCCCCACATACCCGATTACAGTCTCTGTCCATCAGTGTAGTAAGATGCTATAGAGTCACTACTTGTCTTCTCTGTGTTGTACAGCCCTTCCCATGCGCCCCCCGATTATACATGCTAATCGTAAAGCCCCCATTCTTTTTTTTCCCCCCTGCCTTATCCCTTCCTTCCCACCCATATTCCCCAGTCCCTTTCTCATTGGTAACTGTTAGTCCATTCTTGGGTTCTGTGAGTCTGCTGCTGTTTAGCTCCTTCAGTTTTTTCTTTATTCTTATACTCCACACATGAGTGAAATCATTTGATACTTGTCTTTCTCTGCCTGGCTTATTTCACTGAGCATAATACCCTCTAGCTCCATCCATGTTGTTGCAAATGGTAGGATTTGTTTTCTTCTTATGGCTGAATAATATTCCGTTGTGTATATGTACCACATCTTCTTTATCCATTCATCTACTGATGGGCGCTTAGGTTGCTTCCATTTCTTGGCTATTGTAAATAGTGCTGCGATAAACATAGGGGTGCATATGTCTTTTTCAAACTGGGATCCTGCATTCTTAGAGTAAATTCCTAGGAGTGGAATTCCTGGGTCAAATGGTATTTCTATTTTGAGCTTTTTGAGGAACGTCCATACTGCTTTCCACAATGGTTGAACTAATTTACATTCCCATCAGCAGTGTAGGAGGGTTCCCCTTTCTCCACAACCTTGCCAAGATTTGTTGTTGTTTGTCTTCTTAATGGTGGCGATTCTTACTGGTGTGAGGTGATATCTCATTGTGGTTTTAATTTGCATTTCTCTGATGACTAGCAATGTGGAGCGTCTTTTCATGTGTCTGTTGGCCATCTGAATTTCTTCTTTGGAGAAGTGTCTGTTCAGCTCCTCTGACCATTTTTTATTAGATTATTTGCTTTTTGTTTGTTGAGGTGTGTGAGCTCTTTATATATTTTGGATGTCACCCCTTTCTCGGATCTGTCATTTATGAATATATTCTCCCATACTGTAGGATGGATTTTTGTTCTATTGGTGGTGTCCTTTGCTGTATAGAAGCTTTTCAGCTTGATATAGTCCCACTTGTTCATTTTTGCTTTTGTTTCCCTTGCCCGGGGAGATATGTTCATAAAGAACTTGTTCATGTTTATGTCCAAGAGATTTTTGCCTATGTTTTTTTCTAAGAGTTTTATGGTTTCATGACTTGCATTCAGGTCTTTGATCCATTTTTAATTTACTTTTGTGTATGGGGTTATACAGTGATCCAGTCGCATTCTCTTACATGTAGCTGTCCAGTTTTGCCAACACCATCTGTTGAAGAGGCTGTCATTTCCCCATTGTATGTCCATGGCTCCTTTATTGTATATTAATTGACCATATATGTTTGGGTTAATATCTGTACTTTCTATCCTGTTCCTCTGGTCTGTGGGTCTGTTCTTGTGCCAGTACCAAATTGTCTTGATTACTGTGGCTTTGTAGTAGAGCTTGAAGTTGGGGAGTGAGATCCCCCCACCCCACTTTTTCTTCCTTCTCAGGATTGCTTTGGCTATTCGGGGTCTTTTGTGGTTCCATATGAATTTTAAAACTATTTGTTCCAGTTCGTTGAAGAATGCTGTTGGTATTTTTGATAGGGATTGCATCGAATCTGTATATTGCTTTAGGCAGGATGGCCATTTTGATGATATTAATTCTTCCTAGCCAAGAGCATGGGACGAGCTTCCAGTTGTTAGTGTCTTCCTTAATTTCTCGTAAGAGTGTCTTGTAGTTTTCAGGGTATAGGTCTTTCCCTTCCTTGGTTAGGTTTATTCCTAGGTATTTTATTCTTTTTGATACAATTGTGAATGGACTTGTTTTCTGATTTCTCTTTCTGCTAGTTCATTGTTAGTGTATAGGAAAGTCTCAGATTTCTGTGTATTAATTTTGTATCCTGCAACTTTGCTGAATTCTGATATTTGTTCTAGTAGTTTTAGAGTGGATTCTTTCGGGTTTTTTATGTACAATCTAATGTCATCTGCAAACAGTGACAGTTTGACTTCTTCTTTACCAATCTGGATGCTTTTTATTTCTTTGTTTTGTCTAATTGCTGTGGCTAGAACCTCCAGTACTATGTTGCATAACCATGGGTAGAGTCGGCATCCCTGTCTTCTTCCCAATCTTAGATGAAAGGCTTTCAGCTTCTCATTGTGAAGCATGATGTTGGCTCTGGGTTTGTCATATATGGCCTTTATTATGTTGAGGTACTTGCCTTGTATACCCATTTTGTTGAGAGTTTTTATCATGAATGGATGTTGAATTTTGTTGAATGCTTTTTCAGCATCTATGTGGATGATCATGTAGCTTTGTCCTTTTTGTTGATGTGGTGGATGATGATGACAGATTTTCGAATGTTGTGCCATCATTGCATCCCTGAATTGAATCCCACTTGATCATGGTGTATGATCTTCTTGATGTATTTTTGAATTTGGTTTTCTAATATTTTGTTGAGTATTTTTGTATCTATGTTCATTGGGGATATTAGAATATAATTTTCTTTCTTTGTGGTTTCTTTGCCTGGTTTTGGTGTTAGAGTGATGCTGGCTTCATAGAATGAGTTTGGAAGTATTCCCTCCTCTTCTATTTTTTGGAAAACTTGAAGGAGAATAGGTATTATGTCTTCTCTATATGTCTGATAAAATTCAGATGTGAATCCATCTGGCCCGGGGGTTTTGTTTTGGGTAGTTTTTTTATTACTGCTTCAATTTCGTTGCTGGTAATTGGTCTGTTTAGATTTTCTGTTTCTACCTTGGTTAGTCTTGGAAGGTTGTATTTTTCTAGGAAGTTGTCCATTTCCTCTAGGTTATTCAGTTTGTTAGCATATAGATTCTCATAGTGTACTCTAATAATTCTTTGTATTTCTGTGGGGTCTGTCATGATGTTTCCTTTCTCATTTCTGGTTCTGTTTATGTGTGTAGATACTCTTTTTCTCTTAATAAGTCTGGCTAGGGGCTTATCTATATTGTTTATTTTCTCAAGGAACCAGCTCTTGTTTTCATTGATTTTTTCTGTTGTTTCATTCTTCTCAGTTTTATTTATTTCTTCTCTGATTTTTATTATGTCCCTCCTTCTGCTGACTTTGGGCCTCATTTGTTTTTCTTTTTCCCGTTTCAATAATTGTGACTTTAGACTATTCATTTGGGATTGTTGTTTCTTCTTTAAATAGGCCTGGAT